AGATTTACCACAAGGTATTTTATACTATTTGAGGCTACTGTAAAAGGTTTCCCTGATTTTTCTGAGTAAATTTTGTATCTAGCCATTTTGTTGAAAGTATTCATCAACTGTAGAAATTTTCTTGTGGAATTCCATGGAATTCACTTATGTATCATCTACAAATAGAGATACTTGATCTATCCCTTTCCAGTTTGTATCCTCTTGTTCTCCTTCAGTTGTCTTACAGCTCTAGCTAAGACATCAAGTAGTGTATTGAATAGTTTACAGAGGGAGTGGACAACTTTGTTTTGTGCCTGATTTCGGTAGAATTGCTTTGAGTTTCTCCCCATTTAAGTTGATGATGGTTCTGGGCTTGCAGTGAACTGCCTTTACTATGTTTATTATATTATCTCTCCCAGGACTTTTATCATGAAGGGGGTGTTGGATTTTGTCAGAGAACTTTTCTGCATCTAGTGAGATGAACATGTGGTTTTTGTCTCTTAATCTATTTATATGGTAGATTATATTTGCCAATTTATGTATAACTATCTCCAAATCACTTGATTGTGGTAGACTTTTTTTTTTTTTTTTTTGGTTTTTCGAGACAGGGTTTCTCTGTGTAGCCCTGGCTGTCCTGGAACTCACTCTGTAGACCAGGCTGGCCTCGAACTCAGAAATCCGCCTGCCTCTGCCTCCCAAGCGCTGGAATTAAAGGCGTGTGCCACCACTGCCTGGCGGTAGATTTTTTTTAATGTGTTCTTGGATTTGGGTTGATATTTTCTTTATCTTTTAACTTTTACATCTATGGACATAAGGGAATCTGGTCTCTCTCTTTGCTGTGTTTTGTTTTTATGTGGTTGGGATATCATGGTCATTGTGGCCTCATAAACTAAAGTGGACAAAAGCTCCTTCTGTTTCTATTCTGTAGAATAATTTGAATAGTATTGACATTAGCTCTTTTCTGGAAGTCTGGTAGAATTCTGCACTAAAGCCACCTGGTCCTGGGCTTTTTTATTTGTTGGGAGACTTTTAGTGCCTGCATCTATTTCACTAGGGTTTATAGGTATGTTTAAATTGTTTATCTGACCTTGATTTAACTTTTGTAAGTGATACCGATCAAGAAAATTGTTCATTTCCTTTTTTAGAATTTCTGATTTGGTGAATACAAGTTTTTAAAGTATGTTCTTATGATTCTCTGGATTTCTTCAATATATATTGTTATGTCCGCATTTTCATTTCTAATTTTGTTAATTTGGATATTATCTCTCTGCCTTTTTGTTAATTTGGATATAAGAGTTTGTCAATATTACTGATTTTCTCAAAAAAATATTTCTTATTTTCTTGATTCTTTGTATTTTTTGTTGTTTCTATGTTATTGATTTTAGCCCAGAGTTAATTTCTTGCCATCTACAATCTGAGAAAATTTTACATTTCTTTCTTTTTTAAAAAAGGACTTATTTCTATATTATGTATCAGTGTTTTACCTGCATGTGTACCTATAGGCCAGAAGAGAAAATCAGATCTCATTGTATGATGGTTGTGAGCCATCATGTAATTGCTGGGAATTGAACTCAGGACCTCTGGAAAAGCAGTCAGTACTCTTAACTTCTGAGCCATCTCTCCAAGCCCCTGAATTTCTTTCTTAATTTCAGTCTTTACCCATTTTTATTCAATAGTGATTTGTTCGGTTTTCATGAGTTTGTAACCTTTCTGTTGTTGATATCCATCTATATATAATCTACGGTGGTCAGATAATCTATGGTGGTCAGATAATCTGTGGTGGTCAGATAATCTATGGTGGTCAGATAATCTATGGTGGTCAGATAATCTATGGTGGTCAGATAATCTACGGTGGTCAGATAATCTATGGTGGTCAGATAGGATGCAGGGTGTTATTTCAGTTTTCTTTTATCTATTGACATTTGCTTTGTGTTCACATATGTGATCACTTTTGGAATTCCTTTGGGGAGTATTCCATTCAGAGCCTAGAAGAATGTATGTTCTTTTGTGTTTGGGTAAAATGTTCTACAAATAACTCTGAAATCCCTTTGATTTATAATGCCAGTTAGCTTCAGCATTTCTCTGTTTAGATTTTGTCTTAGTAACCTGTCTCTTGGTAAGAGTGGAGTTTTGAAATCAATGTGTGAGAGTAAATATGTGATTTAAGCTGTAGTAATTGTTTGTTTGTTTTTAAAGAACTGGGATACCCTTGTGTTTGGTGCATACATGTTAAGAATTGCAATGTCCTGTTGGTGGAGTTTTCCTTTGACTAGCATGCAGCGTCCTCTCCTATCTCTTCTGATTAGTTTTGACTTGAAGTCTGTTTTGTGAGATATTAAAGTAGTTACACAAACTTTTTAAGTCCGTTTGCTTGGAATACCTTTCCATCCTTTCTCAGTCAGGGGATGTCTTTATGTTACGGTATATTTCTTGGATACAACAGTGGATCCTGTTCTCCCATTCATTCTGTTAGTCTGTATCGTTTTATTAAGGAATTGAGATCATTGATGTTGATGGGAGACATCAATGACCAATTATTTGATTCCTGTTTTGGTGGTGGTGGTGGTGTGTGTGTTATCAACAAACACAGGGATTATTTATTCCCTGTGTTTTCTTCTGTGTAGTTAACCTTTTTAGGTTGGAGTTTTCCTTCTGGTGTCTTCTGTAGGTCTGGGTTTGTAGATAGGTATTGTTTAAACTTGGTTTTATCGTAGAATGTCTTGTTTTCACCATCTGTTGTGATTGAAAGTTTTGCTGGGTTTAGTGTCGGGCTGGCATCTGTGGTTTCTGTAGAACATTGGTCCAGGCACTTCTAGCTTTAGAGTCTCCATTGAGAAGTCAGGTGGGATTCTTAATAGGTTTGCCTTTATGTGAGACGTGGTCTGTTTTTTTTTTTTTTCTTGAAGCTTTTTAATATTCCTTCTTTGTTCTATATGTTTAGAGTTTTGCTTGTTTTTACTGAGAGGACCTTCAAGTCTAGTCTGTTTAGAGTTCTGGATGCTTCTTTTTTCTTGTTCTATATCAAATTCTTTAGGTTAGGAAAATTTTCTTCTATGATTTTGTTGAATATATTTTCTGTTCCTTTTACCTGGGTTTCACCTCCATCCTTTATTCCTGTTAATTCTTAGATTTGGTCTTTTCATAGTGTCTCAGGTTTCCTGGGTATTTTGTGTCACAATTTTTTATATTTAACATTTTCTTTGATTAAAATATCTATTTCTTTTTGGTGTTTTTAATTTCTGAGAATCTCTTTTCCATTTCTCATATTCTGTTGGTGAGGAACCTCTGAGGTTCCTATTTGAGGTTCCTGTTTGAGAACCTACATTTTTCATTTCTAGATTTCCCTCAGTTTGAGTTTTCTTCATTCTATTTTTACTTTTGTGTCTTAAATTGATTTATTCAGTTCCTTCCAGTGTTTGTTTGTGTTTTTATAGGTTTCTTTAAGGGATATATTTATTTCCTCTTTAAGGACCTCTGTCATTCACGTAAAGGCTATTTTAAGTTTGTTTATTCTTTGTTTGTTTGTTTTCTTGTGCTTCAACTATGTTGCAGTACTCAGACCTGCTGTGAGAATGTTGCTGGGCTCTAGTAGTGACATTGTCCTGGCTCTTATTCACTGTGGTTTTTCTATTGGTGTTTGGGCATCTGAGTTGTGGAAGACTGTAATTCTAGGTGCTGATATCTCGTCTTGTTTTTGTTGAGGAGTATTTTGTTCCTTGGTTTCTGTTTCTCTCTCTGTTTTTTTAGGAGGGTGTAGTAGTTGTGTATTGCCTGGTAGAAAATCTTCTAGGATCCTCATAGGTGTGGCCACTGGAGAGTCCAGGTAAACTGTGTTTCTAGGTATTGGGAGCTGACACAGGGATGGGGATAGACTACAGAGGAGCTGACAGCAGGGTTCCACAGGATCTGCTTAGTGATCTGGGAATGGGGGCGGAGTGATGAGAAGCTGCTACAGATAGTCTGCTACAGATCTGGGGATGAGACTTAGGACTGGACTTGGAGGAATGGAGGGAGAGGTGAGATCTACAGTTACCCTACTTGCTTCTCTGGTCAGTGTAACCTGCTAGTCCCCAGGGAGTGCCTGCTGGAGCGAGAGCCTGGGACAGAGCATGAGTTGGAGGAGGGGACTTAGGAAGGGAAGATGTGTGATCAGCTAGAGGTGGGGTAAGGGGGTAAAGGTCTGCTGCAGAGCTAAGATGAAACTTGGGGGTTGGACCTGGAGGAGCTGAGGGAGAGGTCAAGATCAACATTTCATTTTCTCACTTCCCTGCCTGGAGTCACAAATGACTCTTGAGTCACAATTTGAAGAGAAAAGCAATTTTATAATTCATAAATTATGTTGGGCTTTATAACTTACTATTTTGTTCTTTATGACCTCTTAGTAATATTTGGTACATGGTATATATCTAGTAATGTTATCCACAATAAATGTTAGCTATCATTTTTTAACTATAGATACATCACAGAAATATGTTCGAATTTATTGTTATCATACATTGTGATAAGATGGTGGTAATTGTTTCCTTATAATAATCTTTGTTTTTGAATCATAATTATGACTTTCATAACCTAGGACTTGCAGAAAGTACCTCGTTTAACAAAATATGTCAATTATTTTTAATGTAAAGCCCAAAAATTTTCCTGTAAATTCTAAACAACTTTTCTCACTTATTCTAAGCATGTACACCTGTATTATGTTTGCATCAGTATAGGAAGAGACAAAGAAAAATTCTAAATCTCTCTATATTTTAAATGATTTTGGGTCCTTGGCATTTACATCTGCTCATCAACAGAGTATTGGAAAAGATGGTGATAGATGTTAGACAATTCAAGTGTGCTAGCTATTCAAACATGGTGTGTAATTCCTTTCCCACATTTTGTAGTAAATTATTACATGATCAAGTAGAGTAGAGTATCATAGTGGTCATCCTTGTTTAAAAAAAATAAAGAAATTTTTACTAATTTGTATATAATAAATATAAACCAAACCAGCCATTAAACATCTTTTTTTTTTTAAACAGGGAATTAGTGATGGTATTCCACTATTAAAGGCTATCATCCCCAAAAATCAGTCTCGTTCCTTTATATCTCAAGGCAGCCCTGAGTTACTGGTAAGTGAATGTATACCTGTTTCATACTGCTATGTCTCTATTTATTAGTTTGCCAAAAAGGAATAAGTGTAAAAATATTTCAATTACATTTTAAAAATTCATTTTGTGTATATGTATGAGGGCATGCACATGCCAGCCTGCATCTGGAGGTCAGAGGACAGCAGTGAGTTGATTCTCCTCTTCCACCATGTGGTAGGAATTGAGCTTGGGTCCTCTGCATTGGTGACACTTCCCTTATCCCTCCAAGCTATCTCATTCACCCCATAATAAACTTTAAAAAAATGTTTTTTTAATTTCATATACATTGGTGTTTTGTCTGCATGACTATGTGAGGGTGTCAGAGCCTCTGGACCTGGAGTTACCGACAGTTGTGAGCTGCCATGTGGGTGCTGAGAATTGAATCAACATCCTCTGGAAGAGCAGCCAGTGCTCTTACCCACTGAGTGATCTTTCCAGCCCCAATAATAAACATTTAAAAAGAATTTTTAAAAATATATTTTGTGTGTGGATGTTTTGCTTGTTTAATGTGTACCACATTGATGCCTGGCTCCTGCAAAGATCAGAAAAGGGTACCAGATCTTCTGTATCTGGAATTATAGATGATTCTGAGTCACCATGGGGGTGCCAGGATCCAAACCTAAGTTCTCTGGAAAAGCAGCCAATACCCTTAACTACTGAGTTACCTTTCTAGCCTCTAAAAGAATATCTTTAAAATAATCAAGGCTAAAGGGATAGCTCTGTGGTAGAACTCCAGCCTAGCATGTGTGAAATAGACACATTAAAATAGCTGGGAAACATCACCATAATATAATAATGATAATCAAAACTAATACAGATTTTATTAAGAGTATACATCCTAGAGCATTTCAGTGAGCATAAATTGAGTTTTATATGAATTTATATTTATCTACCCAATATCCCTGTGAAGTAGAAACTATTATTTTCCTTATGCAGATAAGAGATTAAATCTCAGAAGTACCATACCCCAAATCACAGAGCTAGCAAGTAAGGATCTGAGACCTTGGCACAAGAGCTAACCTAGGTTTGTCTTGTTCTAATTTTGTTTAACTCAAGCATGGTAAAGATGTGCTACAGCACAGTAAACAGATTGCAGTAGTACTGTTAGTAGTGTTCACTGGCAAGATACTATAGTTTTCCAGTTTAAACTCTATATTTTTTTAAGTTTCCTAAATCTGAGGATGGGTAACCTGTTGTCCTATAATTGAGGGAGAAAAAAGCTTTTCTCTTTTATTTTTTTATTTTTTATTTTTTATAATTTATTTTTTCTCAAATCGTAATTCATTCACACAGGGGTTATAAACACAGAAAGGCAGGATGTGGGGAAGGGAATGACACTGGAGTGTGGGTGATCAGGGGGAATACAGATATCATCAGAACCGGGTATCGACTGGGTGGAGGTTCAGGGGGCAAGTCACTATGACTCTGCCTATGACTCACTTGTCCTTATCTAAGTTGGTATTGTCTGCCCAGGCTACCTATTTACAAGGTCTGTGACTACTCAGGCTGGTAAATTTCCACAAAAGCTGCCTGTTTACATTAGCTTATAGCCATCTGTTTCAATGTTTTTCCACTGAGACCCAAGATTTGGTGTTAGTATACATGTATGACAGGCCTATTGCTGATTTTAGGCCTATGGCTGATTTTAGGCCTTCAGTGGGTGCTTTTCACTTTTAAAATCAAGTATATCCTAAGACTGTCACTTCAGGGACATTGTAACAGTTAATAATCTCTACTGACTTGATCTAAGTAATGTTTATTTGATATTTTTTATGGCAGAAGTTAACCTTATTAACACTTAACAACCTGAAAAATTAAAAGGAAAAATAATTTGTTAAAGAAGATAACTCTTCTTACAATAAACTGTAAACTGGCTTTCCACTTGAATGACTTAAGATTTGGTTTCATGTGTCTTACAGTATCTCTCAAATGGTAGATGTCAAAATCCGTGAGCATCTGTTTACTCTTAGCTACATTCTTTAATCTTTTATTTGAGTTTTCATATATTCCTTTACAGATAACAGTAAGCATGAACTATGTTATTGGAACCCATGGATGGCTACCATATGACCGAAATATTTCTAACTACTTCACATTCATTAAGGATCAAACTGTAACCAACCCAAAGTAAGTAACTAAACATTTAATGCAGAACAGGGGATTTTTTTTGTGTTTGTTTTTTGTTTTTTCAAGACAGGGTTTCTCTGTGTATCTCTGGCTGTCCTGGAACTCACTCTGTAGACCTGGCTGGCCTGGAACTCAAGAGATCCATCTGCCTTTCTGCCTCCTGAGTGCTGGGATTAAAGGCATGTGCCACCACTGCCCAGTGATTCTCTGTCTTTCCCAGTTTCCCTCTCTTCCATTTAAGTCATACCTTGACAATATTTGATATTCAGACATTACTGAATTTATATTATAACAAATACGGAATAAAATATTACTTTGGGAATGGTAAATTGTCATATTATTGTTTACTGCTTACAAGTGTTCTTTATTTGTTTTGTTGTTGTTGTTGTTGTTCTCAGACAGGATCTCATTGTGTAACCCTCTCTGGGCTAGAACTCATGTTGGAGACAGACTGGCCTCAAGCTAACAGTGATCTGCCTGCCTTCTGAGTGCTAGGATTAAGCAGTACATCATCATCCCTGTCTGAGAGAGGTTTTGTAGTTGATAATAGTCCATGATCTCTTAAGGCAAAGTCTAAAATTCAGTGTGTTTACAGGGCTCAGCGCACCGTGAGTGGTCCTTTTGCCCCAGGACTGGAAATCACTTCCAAACTGTTTGTAGTGTCACATGATGCAAAGTTGCTCTTCAGTGCTGGGCACTGGGATAATAGTATCCAAGTAATGTCACTTACCAAAGGCAAAATTGTCTCACATAATATCCGACATATAGGTAAGAGTTAACTTTTCTTCAAAACTTGCTTTTCTGTTTAATTGTATAAAAGTGGTAGATGTTCCTGATAGGAAAATTTATTGTATTTGGGGTATATTTAAGCACCATGTAAATTAAATATACTTTCATATTCATTAAAAGATATTAAACCAAGTTTTATTTTTAAATTGGATTGTAGATCCAATTGACAATGTTGTAGCTACATAATAAAATTTGTCATTAACAGATAAGACATTGTTAACAGTAAAGTATGAGAGAAAAAATTGTTAAATATATATTAACTTGGTACACCTTAGTATTTCAGGTCTCGGTATAAGAATAAAGGGTTTTCTTTTCTTTTTTTTTTTTCTTTTTTTTTTTGTTTTGTTTTGTTTTTCAAGACAGGGTTTCTCTGTGTAGCCCTGGCTGTCCTGGGGTTTTATTTTCAATAAACCTGTTAAATGAGGATAACTGAGTCTGCTGCTGATTCTGTTCTTGTAATTTCCAGGGTATTACTTAGTGCAGCTATTTCAGGGCCATTCTGGAAAGTTGTTTTTTATGTTATGAATTTGCAACATAATATGTACTATCTTTCTTATTTATTCATTTATTTTATGTGTTCGAGTGTTTTACCTGCATGTTTCTCTGTGCACCACATGTATGTAGTACCTGTTGAGGCTACAAGATATCAGATATCCTGGGACTAGATTTACAGATAGTTGTGAGCTTCCATGAAGGTGCTTGGAATCAAACATAGGTTCTCTGGAAGAGACTCTCATAAAACCTTAACTGCTGAGTCATCTGTCCAGCCCCTGTACTATTTTTCTTAAGGATACATTTCATAAAATAGTAATTTTCAGTTGGAGGAGAATGAATACGATGAGAAAATGGAAACAGCAAAATTACCTACAAGCCATCCTCAGTTCACTGAGTGTGCATAATGCTACCAAAACTCCGTCAGCACATTATAGATCACTCCAGAATGTCTCAGTGACAGCTCTCCAGATGACTGGCCCTGCGAATGTCCTGTTACTCTCTGAACAGACAGAGAACGTGCTATAACAATACTATGGTTATCACTGTGCAATAAAAAGGAATGAAATAGCAATGATTATTTGACAGATTAGATTCAGAAATAAATACAAAATAAAGGGTAATAGAAATTTTAAAAAATATATTTAATTATTCATTGGAGGGGGCCACACACTTGTTCACCTGGAGGTTAGAGGACTGCTTGTAGGAATCAGGTCTCTGCTGCCATGTATGTCCAAAGGGATTAGTGTAGACCATCAGTTTTGGCAGCAGGGTCCTTTCCTGAACCATCCTGTCAGCCCTAACTTAGTAATAATTTGAACATAACTGATATTGCCCTTAAAATTCTGTTCTGTCAGAACATACCCATTTTATTTTTTTTTTCTTCAAACAGATATTGTGACTTGCTTAGCTACAGATTACTGTGGAATGCACTTGATTTCAGGTTCCAGGGACACTACATGCATGATATGGCAAATAACACAACAGGTAATAACCACACATTTCATGGTTTTGGGCTGGGTAATAAGTTTTTCTCTGGCAATAAACGACATTTTGAACTTTTTGTGTTGTGTTTCCTGAGTTCTCCCCTATCTTGAACACCTCTCTTTTCTAGGTTTGTTGCCTGATTCATGGCTTTATCTCTAGTAGTTACCAAAAATTACTCCTTGTAGCTTCTCTAGAAAAATACTGTGGTGGCATAATAACACTTCCTCCTGTCCTGCATGGTGGAACTGTAGAAATTACATATGTCTAGAAGTTCTTCCTGTTTACTGCATGCTTATCATGGCGTTGCTTTAGGGAGGGGTTTTAAAAAATAGTTCGTAAGTTTTCTACCTTGCTAACAGGCTGTCGCCCACCCCAGTATCTCCTCTGCTTCTTGTTATGTATGCTACAGTATTGATAACTTAGATGTTTTATATGGCTTCATCTGTGGTTCAGTAGGAACCAAGAATTGTGTGACCCATTCAACTGAATTTTTTTCTTATGCTCCCTACTCTTTTCTATTTACCTACGTTTATATGATGTCAAAGTGTTTCACTTTAGTACCGTAATGTTTGTTTAGGCAGATTTCTCTTTCATGCTCCTTTTACTACAAGTTTTCCCACAGATTCTCTTAGATGAATGTTTATTTTTTTATCTGAACTTTTAGCCAGATGGCGCAGTGGATAAAGTTCTTGCTGTGCAAGCATGAGGCTCTGGGTTCAGATTCACTCGTGTAAAAGCAGGCATATCACTGTGCTGTGACTCTAGCACTGGGGCAGGGAGCAGATACAGGAGCATCCCAGCAGCATGAGAGCCGGCCAGCCCAGTGGAAGTGACAAGCTTCGGGCTCAGTGAGACACTGTCTTAAAAATTAAGGATGAGAAACAATGGAAGATATCCTGACACCAGCTCCTAGTTTCCACACACACAGGCAAGTGCACTCCTCACTACACACATAACACCAGACACTATTACACACAAAACCAGTTCTCTTGAATTCTGTGGTAGTCTTATTGAAAATTGTTCTTAACTGGGCATGGTGAGTGATCACCAAAAGCTCAAGGCCTGAGGATTTTTATATTTTTATTTTTGAGATTATAATTTAATTACACCATTTCTCCTCTTCCCTTTCCTTCTTTCAAACCTTCATATATACCCCTCCCCTCTCTCCTTCAAATTTCATGGCCTCTTTTTTCATTAGTCATTATTGCATGTCTATATGTTTTATATATACTTATATATTCCTAAATATAACCTATTAAGTCCAAATCATGTTACTTATATGCAAGTTTTAAGAATTTACTGTTGGTACTAGATCCTGGGAAGTACCACTTCTCTCACCTTTACTCAGTTGCCTGTTGGTTGTTGTTTGTATAGGGTCCCATCTATTTGGCATGTTCATCATTGTCTTCCTTGTTCAGTTCAGGTCTGGGCAGTTGTGATGCTGAGACTGTATGGGTGTAGCATCTGAGGTTACAGGGAGACACAGTCTCACAGCAGACTGGCTGATCCTATGGCTCTTACACTCTTTCTGCCCCATCTTTTGCAATGATCCTTGCACTGAGCCTTGGAGACGGGAGTTGTTTTATAGATGTTTTTATTGAGGCTGAGCTCCACAACTCTGTATTTTAATTGTTGTAATGCTTTTGCAGAGGTCTCCACCTGTCACATAGAGAAATTTCCTTGGTGAGGGGTGAAAACTACACTCATCTGTGGGTATAAGGACAAATGTTTATAGATTATTGTTAGGGATGGTTCTGGTTTAGTTAATTAGTGGTTATAGATTCTCTTCCAATAACTCTCATAAGGCCTGGACTTTTTTTTCCCATTGAAGTCTAAAATTTTCTTGAAACCAATTGTTTGGGGTTAACAAAACAGCATCCCACTTTTAAAAAGTGATGTGATGTTTATTCAAGTAACTGATGTAGAAAAATCCAAAGGGGAGTGGGGGAACACACCACCTCTACAAACTGGGGAAAGATACATTGTCCTTCCATTACTCATTGTTGAAAGCAACACTCAATGTATTATGTCTCCAGTATATAAATATTTAATTTGTTCGTTAATAGTGGGTATGTCCTAAGTTTTACCATGTTTACATGTGTCAGATCTCTGATGACATTGCAAATGGTAGCAATTCTCCCAACTCTAATAGGAAAAAAACAACCAATCCCAGAGACTTACATTTGTCAGATATTAAACAGGTTGAAGCCTAAGTGTCACAGATCCACTCTGTGGTTATTTGCACATGTACAAAATGCATGCCACTTCTTTACATATTGATTCCCTGATGGCTTCTTTCAGTCTCTACCCTTGCTTTATGTCCCCTTTAACCTAGAGAAATAACTCTGACATTGCAGGACTTCCACACTGCAATTATTTTCTACCACTTTATTTGTAGCATTATAAATTTTATGATAATTAAACAAAAACCCTTTTAGGCAGGTATAAATATTATTTATAAGATTTTATAGGTGAATCAGCTGTTGTAAGGGGAGTTAAATATCCACAGACTCTGACTTTGTTTAGTCTGTGTGTCAGAAAATCTCTTGTCACATAAAATATGCAGAATCCTCTGGGGACATAGAAATTGTATAACTCCAAGGATTAAGTAATACTACCACTTCTTTGCCTTAAGTATGCTAAAATTTGATTCTGCATATTTCATTAATAAATTGAATCACAGTGCCCTGGAGTAGCCCAGCAGCACATTCATTTGTGTTCACTAACTCGCTTTTTGGAAGGAGAATGGATTTCAGCTCACTTATCCAAAACAGGAAACAATACTTCATCTGTGGAGGCCTTTTAAGGAGTTAGGTGTTATCCATATGGATTACCCATTCACTCAACCTTGAGTTACTACTTGATCTACAGCTTTGGGTTTCTACTTTGTCGCCGTCCTTATCTCCAGTGTTCTTGAACAGAATCCTACAGTCTTCTGAACCTTCTACCTAAACTAAGGCCCAGTGTTACACCAGCTGTCTCCTTCCTGCACTTTTCTTTATTCTTTCTTTTCTTGTCTCCTTATTTTAGATTTCTTTGTTTTATATTAATGTGAATGTCTGTTTTGTTTCCATGTATGTAGGTGCACTGCTTGCATGCCTCATACCCACAGAGGTCAAAAGAGGGTGTCATATTCCCTGGAGGTGGATACAGACAGTTGTGAGCCATTGTGTGAATGCTGGGCCCTCTACAAGAACAAATGCTTCTAATTTCTGAGCCATCTCTCCAGCCCTTTCCTTCTGTTTCTTTCGTATTGTTTCCTAAACTTACCTGCAAGCCGGTTAGAACTGTGCTCACTTCTGTACAAATCCCATCTCCCTATGATATTACATATATGCCCTCATTGTGGAGGGGAATACTGAAACAGTCATCAAAGCTAATTCTGGGTGGTGGTAAGGCCAATTTACCGGATTGGGTTTTTTGATAACATGCCACCAGAATGAAAACCCCTTCCAGAAACAGATGTCATTTCTACGAAAATGAGGAGGGAGGGAGGGAGGGAGGGAGGGAGGGAGGCAGGGCGCAGAGGGAGGAAGGGAAAGAGAGGGGGGGAACAAAGAAAGAAAGAGGCTCCAGAACTATGTTCTATTCATATTTTATAGATTATAAATATGACCCACCTACTCAAAGATGACCAGAAAGACTGCTGCCTCAGTCACCTCCCCTACTTTTCCACTCCTCCTGTTCCTCTCCTCCTCTTTCTCTTTTACTCTCTTCTTCCTCCTCTTCTTCACCTCCTCCTCCTAACTCAGATCTCTGGATGTTTATACTGAGATTGCCAAGGACAGAGGTTCATTTGCAAAGATCAGAACCTGGCTAATTTCTCTGATAGTATTGTGATCAAAAAGTACATTCTAGTAAGCTACTGTAATTTGGGGACTATTTATATTTGCAAAATGACAACCAATTCTGATGGAATTAAATAGTTAATTAAAATTAAAAGGCCTGGGCTTTACGGTAACTTCAAGACTGGTCTGATTTACATAGCAAGATTCTGTCTCAAAAAAAAAAAAAAAAAAGACACATAAGAATCCTTGTCAAAAAGGAGGGGGGGAGAAAAGAAAAAGAAACATAAAGAAAAATTATTTCCATGCAGAAATGCAAACATCTTTTCGTTATTTGTCTCATGCCCTTTAATGTCTTTAGATAACCCCTTAATCACTTTATTTTCATTTGTGTTCTATACTGTGCTATACTTCATTTCTTGCTGATTTTTCCTACTGCGAAGGAAAGTTGTATAGTGTTGTGATTGATTGATATATGGTTATTTTATTTTTACTAACTTTACAACATTTTTAAACTCATAGTTATTGATATTCTTGGGTATTCTGACCCTAAGGTGGCTATACCATCATGTGATCTAGAAATAATGGTGACATTCCCTATTTTCCAATGTATCATTTTACTTGCTTATCCTATTGTAATGGAATTATTAGCTAGTGCAGTGGGGTAAGAACAATGATACTGAGCTGGAGAGATTACTCAGCGGTTAAGAGCACTGACTGCTCTTCCAGAGGTCCTAAGTTCAATTCCAAGCAACCACATGGAGGTTCACAACTATCTGTAACTTCAGTTCTAAGGAATCTGATACCCTCTTCTGGTGTGTCTGAAGATAGCTACAGTGTACTCATGTACATAAAATACATACATAAAATCTTAAAAAAAATAAACGATACTGAAAATCCTGTCTTATGTCTAACTTTGGTTGAAAATTACTTTATAATTTTGTTCTTTGATGTAGTGTTTGATATCAGTTTTTATCAGTATTATATTTTGGTTTTAGCTATTTTTATCCTGCCTTTTAGTAAGTTAATTTTAATGAAATGTCAAACTTACTATAGAGAAGTTATAAAAATAATACATTTGTTCCATTGTCTTAACATCCTGAATATCTGTCTCCTTTCAGCATCTTTATTTTTCTCACCTATTTAAATGTTGGAAGTACTTCCTGTTCCACTGAATATTCTACGTGTGTCGTCCAAGAGCAATGATTTTCTTTTTAATTTTTTATTACGATTATTCATTTACTTGTGTATGGGTGATTCACACATGCCATGGTGCATATGGAGAGGTCAAAAGACAGATTTTGGGGGTCAATCCTCTTCTTCCACCATGGGTGTTTCTGGAACCAAACTTAGGGAATCAGCCTTGGTGGCAAGCACTTTTACCCACTGGTCCATCCTCACAGCCCTTACAGCTGTTCTTACTACCACAGCACAGTTGTTTAAATGAGTGTGTTATACATGTGTACAGTGCTATTACTGATCTACAGTTTATGATAAACAGTTTCTTATCATGTCAGTGATGTCCTCTGTAATTGTTTTTCTACAGTTACTTTCAGTGTTTCCTTTTCTTTTTCTAAATGCAGTTAATTAAGAAATTTCTTAGTTTTGAGCTGCCTTGAATTCATATAATAAATTAGCATTATTCAAGTTTATTGTTACTACATTTTATTTGCTAATACTATAATTTTTCCCTTTTATTTTTTTAAACTAAGGTCTTACTTTTTCCTGTATTTTTAAATAAAAGGTCAATTTTGATTTTGTCATTACTGCATTTATTTTTTGGATATTCAACCTTTATTAAATGAATTTAAGAAGTGTTTCTTCTTTTACTTGAATTGTAAATTTTTCTGTTACTTGAATTGCTTGATACAGGAATGACCTGATTTGTAAACATTAAATAAGGTGACGTGTATAGGGAAAATCACATGTGTCACAGGAAGTAGAGTTCACAGTGAATGCTTTTAATATTAAAAACAAAGAGTCTAGACAGACTTGTCTAGAATAGCTATGAACAAAACAATATGACACACAACTGACGTTTCCTCAAATGTAATGTAAATGTACACAAATAGGTTTAAAAACAAAGGCATTCTAGAGAAATTGTCTTCAACAAATTTGTCATATTAGCCTGCAGTTTCATCCTGTGAAGAAGCTGAGACAGGAACATCACAAATTCAGGGCTTGCCTGGATACAGAGTGATAGTTTTAAGTCAACCTGAGTAACTTGGTAACGCTTTTGTTGCAAAAATTATTGTTTTAAAGGCTGAGTATATAGCTTAGTAGTAGAGCATCTACCATTAATAAATGGTTAATGCACCATTAGTGATGGTGCATGCTTATATTTCTAGCAAGAGGATTTCTGGGACTCAGTGCCCTGTCAGGCTAAGTGAAAAACAGCTCCAGATTCATTGAGAAATCCTATCTCAAGGGAGTAACGCCAGGAGCAATAAAGTGAGCTACTGTGCATGTGTACACACACAATTAAGGAAAAGAGTGGTAGCTATAGAAATTAAAGGCAAATCAGAATAAATGTAAGTGAGGTCCCTAAAGTTCAAACTTTAGGTCCTAGAGTCCAGAAAGTATTCAGATATATAAAATGTTTAGTTGAATTTAAGGAGGAATAAATTTGTAGATTAAAAAGAGCATATAACTTGGAACAGTTAATCTAAGATGTCAAGATTGATACCATTCAGTTTAATTTTGAAGTTCAAAAGACAAAATAATTCAAGAATCCACAGAAGTTAGTAACCTCAGTCGTTATAACTGCCTGTCATATTACTTTGTTAAGAGAAAATATATAATATAAACTTTGATATAAAACAAACAAGAGCCTTGGGGGTGGAGGGATAAATAGCAAGAAATCATTCACCTTCACTTTTCCTTTTTAATTGTAGGGAGGCACTCCCGTGGGCTTAGCACCTAAACCTTTTCAAATTCTCTATGGACACACTGATGAGATACTGAGTGTGGGTATCAGCACTGAGCTCGACATGGCTGTATCAGGGTCAAGGGTAAGAGTCTGTTTTTAAGAAATAATTCTATTGACAGTGTTTGTGTTTGAAGTTTCTTGTATGGAAATAGGAGAATTTTTTATAATAGGCATTGTTAAAGTAGAGTAATGCATAAAGAATGAACTTAAAGGGGGCTAGTTGTATTTAAGGATCTTATTGGCCTTATAAGCTAAGGAAGATGCCACTTCAAGATACTACCTGAGGTTGCAAGATTAGGGTCTTTCTTGAAGCATACATGTCCCTGGTGGGACTGTTGTCTCCTCAGTTTCTTTCCCACATTTCTTTATCAGCCGCTTTGCCCTCTGTTTTGTTGTTCTCTGTGTTCATCTCTGGTCTCTCCTGTGTGTAGGATGGCACTGTGATTATACATACTGTTCAGAAAGGTCAGTACATGAGAACCTTACGACCACCTTGTGAGAGCTCCCTGTTCCTGACCATTCCCAGCTTGGCCATATCCTGGGAAGGACACATTGTTGTCTATTCCAGCTTGGAAGAAAAGTCCGTCCTCAAGGTATACAGCCCCTCTCTGCAGTAGGTGTTGACAGTCCCTAGTGTTTCTTTTCCTCCCCGCAATACAGAGGCAGCTTGTATTCTATGATCCAGTTACTCATTTCTCACCATTAGACTTTTGCCACATTCTTGTCGCCACATTTATATTTTATTTCAGAGATTTCTGTTGATCTATATTATACATTATTTCAAATGTAATTTCTTAGAGCTAAGGATATAACTCTCTCGGAAGACTACTTGCCTTTCAAGCCTGAGGCCCTAGATTTAATCCCCAGTCCCACAAACAAAAACACTAAGCTTTGATTATAAGGGATGTCATGAAGTAGCAGTGATAGCAAATATAAGTTCTTTTGTGGGTAAGACAGTATAGAAATAAACTTGAACTTTATATATTCATTTCCTTGTAGTAATAAAGCTTTTAAGTATCAAGAGCATCTTTTTTTAGAAATGTGAAATATTTTTAGACTGGAAAATATTTTATTGTTTTTGTTTAACTCTTACCTGTTTTGTAGCAGTATGACTTTAAGTCCATCTGGTATTGTCATATTTTTTCTTTAAATATAGCCATGTTTTTATTCCAAAAATCTTACTAATTATGTTAGAGTTATAACTGGCAATATAAAAACTTAGCTTTTATTCAATATTCTTAATGTTTCCTAATTCTTTATAGGATAAGAACCTGTTACATGTGTTTTCTATAAATGGAAAGTATCTGGGGTCTCAAGTTCTAAGTGAACAAATATCAGATATGTGCATAATTGGAGACCACATTATCACTGGCAGCTTACAAGGGCTACTCTCTATAAGAGAGCTCCACAGGTAAGTATTTGAAGTGGTCAAATTGTTACTGAAGAAGAGGTAGGAGTAGGGGATAGATGGGAAAATGGTTCAGTAGGTAAAAGTGCTTGCTGTATAATATGAGGATATGGGTTTGAATTTCCCAGCACACACATAAAGACCAGATGCAGAATCATAGTGTAAGCATCTGTAATCCCTGTGTTCCTAGAAGCTTGTGGGCTAGCTTGTCTGGAAGATAATGGTCAAGCAACAGAGATGACCTTGCCTTATAAAAAATGGAAGATGAAGACAAACACCTGATATTGTCCTTTGACCTTGGTGTGCACAAGGCATACACACACTTGCAAGTCACACACAGAAGGAAGAGGCAGCCATGATCTGAGCATGCTGGAATATGCCTGTGGTATCAGCCCTTGGGACTCAGTCCCTACTCCAGTAATACTTTTTCTTTTTTTTCTCTCACATCCTTCTCTTAAGAGTCTAGTTCTAACAAGGAGACTCACAAATTAGAAAAACAATGGATGGAGAATATGTATATGTATATGGAGAGAGAAGCATATAGAGAGTAGCATGCATATATGTGTGTGTGTGTATATGTGTGTGTGTGTGTATATGTATATATATGTATATATATGTATGTATGTATGTATAGTATGGAATGTCCGACAAAGCAAATAGACCTGTTTTGCTAACCACAAAGATTCACACATGTCCACTTTTTGAGCTTTGTGTCCTTTTTATTCACCCTTCAATCAACAAGATAAAAGTATTTAATGATAGAAAAATTAAGATTAAAAAAAGAATAAAGAGAGAGAGAAAACAAAAAAAAGTGTTTAATGAAAGAGCTTATATTCTCAGTATTGTGATGTTTGAGTATAATAATTGACCTTGAAGGGTTTAAGACTTTTTAGAGGTTGCCTATCAAGCTGGTACATTAAGATCCATATGCAGGAGGCTGATTGTGAGTTGAAAGTCAGCGTAGCCTGCATAGCAAGACCCTATCTCAGACAACAAAAAGAGAAGTAGTGTGCAGATGAAGAGCTTAAAGATTGCTAGGATCTGAATACGTAAAGGAGTCTTGCTGAAGAATTAGTAAGATTTGAAATGTAGATCAACTTAAGGAAATTATGAGAGAATGAGTTGGAGGTATGGTGGTATATGCCTGTAAATCTGACATGTGTGAAGTTGGAACGCAGAATTAGATGATCAAGTCACCTTCCATGTATAAACTTCTGTGTATCCATCCTGTATGCATGTAACTGAATGGTTTTTATCTCTTCTAGCTTGAAGCTCAGCGTCACTCCATTAGCCATGCGATTGCCTATCCACTGTGTTTCCATAACCAAAGAATACAGTCACATTCTTGTTGGCTTAGAAGATGGAAAGTTGATTGTAGTGGGTGTTGGCAAGCCAGCCGAGGTAAAACTTAGCAGCACGTGTTCCCCTTTATTGTTGCAGGCTCCTTTGGTCCTTCATTCTAGCTGATTCTGAAGTCTCCATTTTGGATAACATGAAACACAAATTTGACTTTTCAGAAAAAAAAAAAAACTGAAGTATAAAGTTGCTAGTCAGTGGTCTTTATATTATGATGTAATTGAAAGCATGCTTGTGGATTAGTCTTTGTATTACTGTGTGAATAAGAAAATTATTTTACTCCAAATCAACACTCAAGAGGACTGTGTGGATTTGTGGCATAAAAACCCTTGTAAAAAATAAAATGTAGATTTCATTAGTAAGACTAATTTGATTTAACAGATACCAAGCAGGACTATAAAAAGGCATTTTTTGAGCTACAAATATTTCATATCCACGTGCTTATTCTCAGTGAGTTTACTATAATGATAAATTTACTTGTTCAATAGTCTTTTATAGATACATTTGTTCCTCAGAAAACATAACTAGGCTCTAACCCAGTAACCTAGTTGTTGTAATTTTTTTGATACATTCTTAGCTTTTCAGAGAAATGTAATAAGGTATCTGCAGGTATTTTTTTGAGAGAAGAAATTAAGTTGGGTATGGTAGCGCCTACTTATAATCCCAATGCTTGAAAGTTTGGGGGCCAGACTGGTCTACATAGTAAGTTCTAGGCAAGCTAGGGCTATATAGCAAGATCCATTCTAAAAACAACCACAGAGGAAGGCTGGACAGAGATCACAGCGGCTGAGAGCATGTGTTGCTCTTGCTGGAAGCAAGAGTTCAGTTTCTAGCACTGACATAGCACCTTAGAACCATTTGTAACTCCAGCTGAAAGGGAACCACTACCACTTCTGACCTTCACAGACACTAGGCATGTGGTACACAAACATGAATAAGCAAAGCACAAAACTACATAAAGTAAATTTTAAAAATACAGAGTTAAAACATTTTAAACATGTTTCCATTCAACATTGTTTCTTGATAGTTTCCTGAATCATGCCCACCTGCTAGTGTGATAATTACATAAAACTTCTCCTCAGATTTTACTCTTAGAGTACACACCCATAATTGCTGTTGATTGGAGGCTAAGGTAGAAGAATCACAAGTAGAAGGCCTGCCCAGCCTATAGGGTGACTTCGAGGCCAGGCCAAGCAACTAATGAGACCATCTCAGAATAAAACTACCTCTGTGCTAGAGTATTTGCCTAACAAGACGAGGCCTTGAGTTTAATCTCTAGTACTACAAGCTTTTGTTATTAATCAAAAATCTTTTTAATATGTTAGTGATCTTGCTACCAAAACCTGTTCTGCCCTTTATAAATTCAGTGTCTTATATAGGTTGATGTCATATATCCTTGTTTTTTTCCTTAACACACATTTCTCTGGATTATCTTAAACAGATGCGGTCGGGTCAGCTTTCTCGAAAGTTGTGGGGATCTAGCAAGCGGCTCAGCCAGATTTCATCTGGAGAAACCGAATATAACACTCAAGATTTCAAGTGATTGTTCCTTCCACCTTCTGTGATGGAGAAATGAGCTTCAGTTATTGCTTTGTCACTTGAGCTGCATCTCTCCACTCTGAATGTCTTTAAGGGTTTTACCCTGAAAAATAGATTACCACGCTTTGATATTGGAGCACATGCCTGTAACACTAATACTTGAGAGGCTGAGGAAGGTGGATCTTAAGGCCAGCCTGTGCTACATAGCAAGACCTTATCTCAAAAATAAATAAGTTTTAATAAGTTTAAATAAGTTTTTATAAATAAAAATAAATAAATATTAAGTCCATATTTAAAGTTTTGCCAATATGAATCTAGATTTATTAACCAGTACTAAAATTCAATTGAGAAAAAACATTTGATTTTATTTAATAATTTGATTAAATAATTCCAAATTATTAAATCGATTAAAAAAACAAACTTGTAATATTATATTTTGAGGTTAGATTCCCTTAATCTAAGTGGCAAAATTCAAGATATTTCTAATAAAGTAGTTGTATAGATAATTGAGAGTTGAGAGATGTGTCTTTTCATGTGTTCTTTAGGTAATCATTTTTCTGTTTACTGACCATTACATTAAAACTATCAGCTTACTCATGAAGCTCCTGGTTAAGGTAATAACCTTTCAGACATTTGTTTACCATTGAATTTTCAGAAGCTGCACATTTGGATTAAATACAACATTGAAATAGTACAGTGGTTTATTTCCCTACCCCTAATATTTAATATGTTACTAATAAAATGTATTTAATTGCAACAAAAGTTGAATAGGAAAAAAGAAAAACTAGAGATAAGCTTTACAAGTGTACTTCATTTATAGAATATATTTAAGAAAAAAATGCTAATTGTGGCTTTGGCCAGCCTGTCCTTTGAGTAGCATTTACATCTATGAAATTCAAATTTTTGTGCATTTGTCTTTGTTAAGCAAACACTGTATGTACTCTCTTTGTATTAAGTATTTTTACTCTGATGATTATGAGTTATCAGTAATGCCCTAAAAAGGTCATGGTTGATGGAAATAATATTGCATAATTCAAAGTAGTCATTTAGATAAAGTAAAAAAAAATCCTTTTTCTTGCTTGTTATATATACACAACTGTTAGGATAATAGCTAATTTTATTATAGTTTGTTAAATATTACATTATATTTAAATATTTAAGTAAAAAAGCTGATTGATTAATTTGGAATTCAAAGTGATTTTTATTTGTTTGTTTTCGTAAAATTGACTTGAGTTAGGTCAGAGAAATTTTACAACTAGCAGTATTGGTAATTAGATTCCATGGGCTTTAAGGAAATCTGTGAATCTCTGAAGCTGTATAGAAATTTATATGTTGAGATTATTTTCAGGAAAGAACTGTTGCATGGCTTTCTTAAAATGACCTATGGATGACAACAGATGACTTCACTATGGCAGCCTTTAAAAATTATAGTTTTTTTATTCTGATAACCATAGATTTTCTTATACCTACTTGTCTTTTCAGTTGAATCTTAAAGAACTTTTGATTTTCCATTTTCTCTCTCCTGTTGATCACAGTATTCAAGTGGCCTTTTCTTCGTAATTCAAAAAATATGTTTTGAAAAATTTAGAAATAAGGGCTGGTGAGATGGCTCAGCAGGTGAGATCGCTCATCTATAGGGGGACATGATGCCCTCTTCAGGCTGGTGGATGTATACGCAGCAGAGCACTCAACGTTTAAAAAAAATAGAAATAAAAGATTGTTTAGGGAAATTTTCCAATATTTTGTTTTTGAGTCAGGATTAGTAAAACACTGCAGAATCACTGTCTACTTAGTTAAAATTATCTGATTCAGAAAAAAATAGCTATATTTTAGATAAGTAACATTAAAATCAGCTGGTACAAAAGAAGAATTTGTGTAAATGTAAAGACTTCCTTTTTGAAATGTGTTGGAAGTCTCCCCAAGTCAGCGGAGATGGTTATGCTAAATGAAACATGTCTTCTGTTCCTTTTCCCTTCCCCACCTTCCAGATGCTACAACCACAATGCCGTCAAGGCTCTGTGCACTCTGAAATTGTTAGCCGAGTTCAAGTCAGAACCAACATGAGTGGGTTTTCTTAACTTGAAAAATAGTGATTTGGGAGCAGGGTATCAATCCACAGTAGAACGCTTGCCTTCATTGTTCAAGATTCTGGGTTTGCTCCCTTGCATGGGTGAGAGAGAAGAGTAGAAGGAAGAAAGACAGAAAAACACAGAAACAGACTCTGACGACTTTAAGTCAAGACTCAAATTTATCCATGCAGTCCTTGTTTTGAAATCACTTAATACTGGATTTATGAATTTTTTTACTTAAGAATTATAAAAACTTTGATAATCTAAGGAAAAATTCTAAGTGTATAGTGTTTGACTGCTGCCTTTTAGTGGGAAACTAAACAAGTAATATTTCTTTTATAGCATAAATACAAAGCTTTGCTCAGTTTCATAGAGATCGGACCTAAATTACTGCTAGATGTTAAACAGAGAATCATTCCTGATAATTGGGATTTTTTCTAAAAACTATAAACCATGAATGTGGTATGAGAATACTAGCAATATTCTTGAAGAATGAACTTTTATATTTATCAAAACAAGGAAATACGGTGGAACTATTATCTGAGTTATATACTCATATATAAACCGTAGATCATGACATTAAAAATCACTAGATAATATCACTGGGAAGATACGATTTGGCAGATTGAAATGTAGATGTTATCCATACAAAGGTACAGTGGAAGAAATTACTGGAATGGATTGATAACTGGATATTTTGGTTAATGAGTATAAATTCTCAGCTTGGATGCTTTGAGTTCATGTTTTCAGAATTTTTCATCTGCTTTTGTTTCTTTTTTATTTTTAAATCTTCTTTATTGGATATTCTTATTTACATTTCAGATGTTATCCCCTCCCCACCCCCGTAGGAACTCCCTATCCTGTCCCCCCTCCTGCTGCTTCTATGAGGGTGTGCCCCCACCCATCCACCCACTCCCCCCTCCCCACCTGGCTTTTGTTTCTTGATAGAGGAATCATGAATATAAAAACCTCAGCATCTTGGTAATGAGAGATTTATTCTCACATAATGTTCTTTCTTTTGGAAAAGGAGGTCAGTAGGAGTTGGTGGTGGTTGTGTGTGTCTGTGTTTGTGTGTGCCTGTGTGTGTTTGTATATACACATTTATGTAATTGCTATATATACTTGAGAGCAAAGCCATGAGTATTCTGTTATTACTTAGGTAAAATTGAAGAAGAAAAGGAAGAACAAATCAGAGTATGAAGGTCAGGGAGCTGCAAGTCCAGACTGGCAGTAAGTAGTAAGTCTTCGTGGCCAGTGTCACCTGTGAAGGAGTTTCTGTTCATTTCTTTAAGTCACAGTGCATTTCTTTGTAGGAGAAAAACATCTGCAGAGTCGTAAGCCTGCTTTTTCTTTTTCCCTTGTAGACATATCAGACTATTTTCCTAAGAACTGATACTGAAATGCAGTATAGAGGAATAAGTATGCCCACAGAATTAGAATTTAGACTTGAGGATGGTCTCTTAATCTTAGCCTCTTTCTATTTCTTTTGAAATAGGCTAAGAAACTTAGGTTGAGTACCAGTTTTTGTTTGGTGATGGTAGATGCAAGGCTTTTTCCTGTAAGTGTAACATTTTTACTCAAGATAGCTCTAAGGAAAGATTCTAATTGAATTTCGAGAGTTTAGTTTCTTTAAAACGTTTATATTTATAAAATAAATAGCCTCGTCTTTGCCTCCTTTTCAGTGGAAACGAGAGTAGTTGGACTGTATTGAATCTAAACAAGGTGTTAACTGTATAGTATCTGGGTGTGAAGGTATGAGTCTTCTCACTTCTATATTGCTATTCCTGTCTTCTTTACTGTATTTTTATGTACAAAATGAAATGTATTGATTGACTGCAACATCTATTGTTTTTATTTCTCATCTAGACCCCTGCTCTGATGTTAGTGTTCTGTTTCTAATAGAAACTCTTCTGAGCACGCTTTACCATTGGCAGCTAATATTCATTCTCAGTAATTTTTTTCTAATCTATATATGAATACTTTGCATTTGATTTGTTTCAGATGCCCACATATAAACATTATTTTGTAAAATTTCTTCATAGTGCTTTTCCTGATGGCATTAGGCAACAATACAATATTATCAGTATTTAATATTATCTATAGTGTGGTCCACAGCCATACTTACTTAATTTAAATGTAGTGTTTTCTGTGCCAGTGGTTATCTCCAACCTGCCGGTGCCTTTATTAGCTTTGTTTCACATGGACAGAACCACTGTATTGAAAACTTCACTTATCTTCTAAATTCTCTTTAGACCTTTTGCATTTGAAAATCATAGTTAACATCTACCTTCAACAAAATTATTTATTTGCTAGGTTTTATATATATACTTCATAATACCTATCAGTCAATATTTTCGACACTTAAAAAGTGTACATTTTTCCAGTATTGGGGATTGAATTCAGGATCTCATGCATCCATGTTAGACAGGAAACAAAGCATTAGCAGTGTTAAAAGAAAAATAGAATTGAGGATCTTGTAACATTGAACTTACAATGAATAGAGTTCTTCCACTAGAAAAGCATTGGTAAGTTCTACTAAGTACTTCTGATGATGTCTGCAGGTATGACAGAATAGAGCTTAGTGCTAATAGAGCATTAACATTTGAGAGATCGAAGCTTGTGCCAGCGATGTATCTCAGTGACAGTACACTTGAACATGAAGCCCTAGGCTAGCATTTTTCCTGTAACACTGGGAACAAAGTATAGGCCTCATACACAGTAGGAGGGGTTCTACCACTGAGCCTTACATCCTCAGTTCACAGAGTTGTTCTTAATTTGAGATCCAGTTTATCTGTAGGGATTAATAACTGTACTATGCCTAGGTACTACTTGGGATTTTGAGTGATTTAATCAGTCCTAGCTCTCAAAAATTATAAATATAGTATGTACATATAATATATATAAAGAGATATGTGCTGAAATTGCAGATGGTTATATTTTTATTTGTTGAAAATCATGTGGCCATCCTAATAAAGGATTTATATCTCTTCTCTCCCTTTTAGCTCCCTTGAAGTATAGAATATAAAAATTATGTGGTTTTCTTTATTATAAATACCTTATATCAAAAATGGCTATATTAGCAACTTCAATTTTTTGGCAGTCATAGTTATTCAACAGACATATTTTCTTAGACCACTGTCTTTACTGATACCACAGAGAAGTAGTTGCTAAACACAATGCAAGATTTAGATATATAAAAGTAATTCTTTTTGTGTCAAATAAAAAAACACAAATTCAGTGGTATATATCTTCCCCTAAGGCAGAAAGCAAAGTGAATGTCACCG